TTTCTTTCTTTTTTTTTTTTACAGCAACACAAAATGGTGATGGCTGGGGGAAATTAGCTTACGGACACCACATGTGTGACTGGTGCTCTTAGGGGCTGGAAGAGGGCATCAGGTCCCCGGAATCAGAGTGGTTGTGTGCTGCAGGTGGGTGCTGAAAACTGAATCCTGGTCCTGTGCAAGAGCAGTAAGTGCCATTGGGTATGGTGGCACTGGCCTTGCATCCCCGTACTCAGGAGACAGAGGCAGGCAGATCTCCATGAGTTCAAAGCCAGCCTGGTCTACAGAGTGAGTTCTAGGACAGACAAACTACATAGAGAAGACGTAGTACCCTGTCTCAAAAAAAGGCGCAAAGCTACACAGAGAAACCCTGCTCAAAAAAAAAAAAAAAAAAAAAAAAAAAAAAAGGGCGCCGTAAGTGCTGTGGCCACCGAGCCATCTCTCTGGCCGCATTACTAAGTTTTTATCAGCTCCACCAGCTGGGCAAGCTTGGGCTGGAGGGAACCAGAGCCATGGCTAAGCCTGTCCGGTCAGAAAGCATGCAGGTCAGAGTTCTGCTTCCTGTTGCTACCCTTGCTGTCTAATCTGAGCTGTAACTCACAGTGCAGCCCAGACGGGGGTCAAGTTTACCCTTCTGATTATGGAGACTACAGGCATGAACCATCAAGCCCAACTTGTGATTTTCAAAGTCTAGACACAAGTTTCTTGGTTAGAAATCCTTGACAAGAATGGGTTGCAGTTAAGATCATCAAAAAGATGAATAATAAGTCATTGCATTACCATTCTCTGTTGAGAGAACTCATGATTGGAAAGGATTATAAAAATTCCATTCAAGCTGGGCAGTGTTTGTGCTCACCTTTAATCCCAGCACCTGGGAGGCAGAGGCACGAGGAACTCTGTGAGTTCAAGGCCAGCCTGGTCTACAAAGTGAGTTCCAGGATATCCAGGGCTACACAGAGAAATCCTGTCCAAATATATATATATTCCATTCATGTGTGATACCTAAGTCTTGACTTGTTAGTGTTGTTGGGATATTTATTACATATATCATTACTAGGAGTAAATGTGTGCTCTTGGAGGTTTTGTGTGATTTTAATGTTAAATTCTGATCAACCTGACTGTATAGGATTTCATTTAACCTGAGGATTCTGCTGCCATTCATTTACTTTGAATGATTCCCTTACTAATATTTGTCATGATGCTTTGTTTCTTTTGCTTATAAGACATTCATTTCAAAACAAAGCTTATCCAGGCCTCCTGCTCTCAAAGAAAATACCTGGTGTTTCCTATAACTGGACATTCTCCTAAAACTCACAGCACAAAGAACAGAACTGAGAAGACCCCCAGGCTTCCTGCCCATGCTTCTTCTCTGTTAACTCAGACAACCACTGATAATAAAGCAGGGAGGGCCTCCATGAGCTCAGAATTGTTGGAGAAATGTTTAATGATAGAATCATCTAAGTCAGACTTCACAGGACATGAATGTGATCAGCACTCAGAAGGCAGAGTCGAGAGGATAAGGAGTTCATGGTCAGCCTTGTCTCTGTAGAGATTTTGAGGTCAGCCTGGGCTACATGAGACTCTTTCTCACCCCTCAAAAAGAGCTATCAAACTGGTTTTGCTTGGGGAATATTGGAGACTCCACCACAATCCATCTGAGGGATAACGATTCTGGTACATGTGGTTTTAGGTAGAGGCCAGTCTGCCAGTATCAGGTATTGTGGAAGGATGAGTTGTAATGAAAAAAAAAAGTTCAATAGCTACAATGATTTCACTTTGTCAGTCTCAGTCACTCATGGTCAAATGAGGTCTAAAAATACTAAATAGAAAATTGTGTGCAAATAGTTCATAAGTTCCTAGCACATGCAGTTCTGAGGAGTATGGGGAAACCTTGGGTGGTCCCACTCTGTCCCCTCCAGGATGTAAGTCATCCATTGTTAATGTATCCATTAACAATGCCCCATAGTTAGTTAGTAGCCATTTTCAGACCAACTGCAACAGTATGGCAATATATGAATTCAACTAACCCTTGCTTTATTTAATCGTGGTCTCAAAGTGCAAGACTAGTAATGCTGATGATTTTATTACAATATATTTTTTATAATTGTTTTATTTTATTTTTAGTTACTGTGCCCAATTTATAAATTAAATTTTATCATGGGCATACATGTGTAGGAAAAAACATAGAATATACAGGGTTTGGTTTTATCTGCAGTTTCAAGCAGCTACAAGGGATCTTGGAGAATGGGGAGCTACTGCTTATATAGTTGAAGCCCTGGATTTTGGAATAGAATTGTCTCAGCTCTAAAACAAGCGTAACACCTTTGACCGATCCCGGGCATCATAGTGAGAAATAATTATAAAGCGATTTTGCAAAGAAAGGGATTGCAACAATGTAAATGTCTACGGTGACAGAAAGGAGAAGTGGTGGTAGTTAATTTAGGAGCTCCTAAATGCCTGGGGATGGACTTGGCCATACCTCAGAGTAAGACTAGGTCCACTTTCCCTCCAACTGTACCAGGTAGAAAATCATAAACAACTGCCACCAAACAGGTTTCACTGTTTTGTTGTTGTTGTTTGGCTTTGAAACAGGGTTCTCTGTGCAGCCCTGACTGTCCTGGTTCACCCTGTAGACCAAGCTGGCCTTGAACTCACAGAGATCAACCTGCCTTTGCCTCCTGCATGCTGGGACTAAAGGCATGCGCCACCACCTTTGACCAGGCCCAAATAGATTTCTGCTTTAAAAGCCACTCCCAGCTCTTTTCTAATGATGTTCTCTCAAAGCTTACTCGCTGGTTGAACAATGACCCTTTGGGACATACTCATGCATTAAACAAACAAACAAACAAACAAGAAGGTAATACCACTATTTGTACTTCTTGCCGAATAGTATTACTTCTTTTTTATACCGAGCATGAACATTTGAGTCTTCTCTTGTTTTCTGAACTCTACATTTTTGGAAAGTAGGGTCCGGTTGCATTTTCCCCTCTCCCCTTGCCTAAAAAACTTTGCTTCTGGAGAGAGTCCTCCGTAAACACTTTTGAATGCATGTAGTTAGTTTTGGTCCAGTTACCTGAAAATTGGTCTCCTGCCCATCAAAACAAACGTTCACAGATCTTAAATTGCTTTTAATCCAAATGGTTTGTAATTCTGTTTCCTGTTCTTTCCTTTCCATTCAGCGCAAGCAAATAAAACCTGAAACAGGTGGCCTACCCTCAACACTGCCGACCTCCTTCACCCTGACCACGGGGAGTTGTGAAAATAAGTCATAAGCAACTGTGACAAGTGGTCAAGAGTGGTCCCGGGAGCTTGTAAGTTGGTCTAACTACTTCTATACCCAGGCTTCCCTCTTCTGCCCCACGAGTCTTCAAATACCATAAAAACCCAGGCAGACAGGAAGCTGCCGGGTGGTTGAAGTGCCAGTCTCCCAGCGTTTATTTCCAGCTCACTCCTGCTCTGTAAAAACACACACTGTCTGATAAAAGGTCTGCTAGCAAGTCTGATGGCTGGAAAATCTGTTGAGTGCTGTGCGGCAGGCACCGGGCTGAGCCCCTTAGGCGCAGGATCTTATTTAAACTTCACAGAGCCTTGGGAGGTTGGACTAAAAGGTCTCATTAAAGCAGGTCAGGCCACACACAAAGCCCCCAGCACGGGAGAGTGCCTTGACTGAGGGCTGCGGCTGCTTCGACGCTCATGCCAACTTACCTGGGAAGTACAGAGTTGAGCGGCCTGGATTTTGGAGGGGATGGTACTTTCGGCTCTGCTCCCGTGCTCCCAGAAGATCCTGGCAGAGCATCAGGCACCGGTCCGGGCGGGTTTGGAAGTATTTCCCTAGCGGAAGTCAGGAGGTGCTCTTTCACTTCTTTCTCCCGCGACTTGGCTTTGTGTTCCGCCAAGAGGAGGTCAAATTGCTTTTTCCGGCCCGGGACCGCTCTGCGATGGCTCAGCGAGTGTGTCTACGGAGAAGAGAGACGAGAAGCACAGCCTCTTTGATCAGCACCTACACCTGCTTCCCCGCGGCCTGCATTTCCGAAATTGCAACCATTGGCAATTAAAGGTGCTTGAAAAAGTCAACTTCAAGGCAACAGCTCCTGTTCTGTGGCTGGGAAGAGGTAGAGACCGCTCGAACGCAACCATGCCCTACACTGCAGGTGTTAAGAAGCTAAGGCTTCCTCCAGACAAATGGCATGAGATGACAGCTTCTGCGCAGAACCCAGGACAACCTCAGATGAAAGACACCCGCGAGGGCAAGCTAGAGTCAATCCAGGTGCGGGTGGGAGGCTCCAGTCGGCCCAGGCAAACAGGGCCATAGCCTGGATCCCAAGAGGCACTAGAAGGACAGGAGGAAATCTGGGGCTTGAGGCTACCCAGTGGCGGAAGCCTGGGGTCTGACTGTCCCCTGGCCACCCCGAGGGGCTAGATCAGGGCGCAGCATCGCATCCTCCCCTCCGGGGCTGCCTTTCTGGGCGCTGCCGCCGCCGCCGCCGCCGTTCCTGCATACATTAAAACGTAGCAGGCTTTAGAACCGCCTGTGAGTGCCTATAAATACAATTTACTGTCTGGCCTCCCAAGTAACACGGGAAGCCTAGGGTGGTTTTTTTTTTCTTTTCTTTTCTTTTTTTTTCTTTTTCTTTTTCCTTCTTCCCCTTAAAAAGCCAGCCAGCTTGAGGCAGGCACTATGCTACCGTGGACAGAGAAGAAAGCATTTCCCTTACAAAGAACAGCTGGAGGTCATGTCGAGGTTCCACACCCTGCCGTGTGCAGAGAGTGGCATGCAAACACTTCGACAAAGGCCCCAGCAAGAGCAGGAAGTATTTTTTTATGGAAAGAGAAATACCTTGCAGGTGAGGGATCTTGTGCAAGGTTTCTTTGTCTCGGGATCCAATACTCCACAGTGTTTATTTGGGTCAAATTCTCTCTCTGGTTTGAGAAACAAACAAAAAATATAAGAAAAAGGGAGACTAAATAGGATTTGGCATTAAGACTACATTTTTTAAAAATGCACATTTGCACCAACAAGTGAGACATTGTTAGGCAATCTGGTTCCCCCCCGCCCCCAACCAGCTGCTAAAATGCTTCAAGAACCACTCAGGGGAAATGGCGCTCCACTCTGAACCCAGATGTTCTGAGTCTGGTACGGGACAGCACAGGGACCAGGGTGGGAGCTGGTAGCGGACCGTGCCATTTGCAAGTGCTTTACTTAAAATAGTAAATACTCTGGGCTCGGTGGCTGCCGAGCAGGGAGATGCACCTGAAACCTAAAGATGGGTCCTTCCTTCCCTCATCTGGTGAATCCATGGTGCCTTCATCCTTCACGGCTTATCCATTTAATAGGAACTTGTTCACGGAGATGTCGATATGGCCTCTCACATGCTCCACATAGCCCCATAGATCAGCACAGTCATTTCCCTGAACCAGGAACGTCTGGCAGTGCCACAGACAGAGCAGGATAAAGTGTGGCAGTGTGCGTCTGTGGGGCTGAACTCGAAGGCACAAGGAAAACAGGCTTGGCTTGCTGTGCCTTTAGCCCTGGCCCAGAAGCTGCACAGGAGGATAGGACAGGACACACCGGCCCGATGGATGAAGGATGGCTGTGGGGAGGACGTGCGTTTCCCCACGTCCTACCTTCTGTCTGGACTGTTGATGGCTTCCACGGAAGTTACTGCTAACTGTTATTTTGATGTCTCTTGCGATCCTTAATCTCTTTGGGGATTACAAAAATGTTTACCACACCTGTAAAATGTGGGTATGTGTGGCATTCTTTCCAGGACCCTCCAGCTTTAGGAGAATCTGTGCAGTTTCTGGAAGGCCCCAGCAACACCTGAGTCCTGCAGAGCAGGACTGCCATAGCTCTCTGGGTGTGAGGGTGGTAAGCAGCAGGTTACTGATAGAGAGGGGGTGATTGAGAAGGTGCCAGGTCTCTAGAAAAGTGAGGTGTCTGTGAGGGCCTTGATGGCTGCAATCTGAACAGAGTTCCTTAGCCAGAAACTGTCTGCATTTGCTGGTGTAAACCTGGAGCATAACAAATGAATGTTCTGTTTTCAGAGGTCCGGGGGTCAGGAAGAGGTTGTGATGCTGTGCACAAAGGGCCATCAAAATGTCTCCCTCCTTTCCTACGCAGAGAGTTCTGTCCAGCAGGCAGAGAGTGAGCAGGAGCCCGGTGCCAGGCTGCCTGCTGTGGAAGACTTTCACTTGGTCTGCCAGAGTCAGGCCTGTGCCCAGACCCACACAGCACCTCATGTTGGAACTGAACAGAGTTTTGACTACGGACAGGAGTTGGCTGTTGAATGTTTGAGAGAGGCAGAAACCAGCAAAGGACCCATTGAGACAAGACAACCCACAAAACACAAAATTCCCTCCACTTCAGATGGGGCACCAGCTGGAAGATGCCAAGGTGGTGTTACTGCAGCAATAAAAGACCCACAGCCTCTGGACACTGCACAGGCCAACACACGCACACACTGGGGTGTGGCCACCCACCTCTGCCCAGTTAACTGGCACATTGCATTTGGGGAGCGAGCCAGCAATGGGGGGGGGGGACACAGTCCCTACAGTGAAGCCCTGCGACACTCTCCCTTTATCTTGATTGTGAACAAACAGAACACGCAGAGACGTGCAGAGTTGTTTCTGAATGTTTGGGGGTAGGCCCAGGTACTTTTAAAACATAATTTTTCAATACAGATATAAGATAGAAAATTCAATTAAAAACTATTCACACCTCTTTGGGTGCTTAAAAACCAGATTTTTTAATTTTAAAAATGCCTGCACCAGAAGACACACCCTCAAGGGTGGCTTCCTCTGTGTTTTGTTTCTCCTAGCTACCGTTAGAGAGAGCCCATGGTGTGCACAAAACCATGAAGTGCGTAGCTTCTCCAGTCACTTGGAGACGCACAACACGCCAGATTCAGTTCTGTAACAGATCCAAAGCAAACTTCATCCTTTCAAGTGGCAACCGTCACCTCTGAGTGGCCATGTGTCTGTTCAGGGGGCTGAGGGTGACCTCCCAACACCCCCATCTGCTGTGCTGGTCTGTGAGCTCCCAATGGGAATTCCAGCCTGACTAGGGGGGGAAAGGCAGCTGCAGCCCCAACTGCAGAATCAACCCAGGGAACCAGGAGGCCAAAGAGTCTCCAGTTCCCTGTGCAGCGCGGCACTGGCTGGGCTGTCCCACCCACCATGTCATGGGCTAGGAGATCTCCCACACAGTCAGGCCTCGCAGCAGCGAAGCTTCACTGGGAGTGATGTCGGCCTGGTGAGTCTGTACTGGGCGGGCCACTAGGCTGACGAGACCCTCGGGGTCTACAACTGTTGACTGAGACAGAGCCTCCTACTTCCTGGACTTGTAGGATAACTTCAGCCCAATTCAAAACTTGGCCAGGGACCTTCTCTGCACTGGGGAATGAGAGCACCAGTCCTCCCCGGTGCTTTTAGATACGGGCCCAGATGCCCTCCATGTCACCCTTGAAATGAAACAGCTGTTTAGCTACAAACACAACACTGGCTACAGAAGGGACCGGTTCTGGTCTCATCACGGCGACACGTACCTGAGAGTCTCCGGTAAGGCTTGTTGCTGTTTTTGGTGCCGTTTTGGTGCTTCTTGTCTGTGGTGGCTGACAGAGTCCCCTTGCCATTTAAGATCTTCTCTGGTGAGGGTGGTACTGACTTGGACATCAAGGTGGGCTTAATTAGAGGTGGGGTGGAGACGGCAGCGGAGGAGCAAGTGGCTGCGGTAGTGGTTGTGGAGTTCATTTTGACATTGGCACCATCTGCCTTCACTAGGTTAGGAATTTTCTCTAAACTGACTACAGGAACTGGAACGCTGAAAAACAAAGGAACACACATGCACCGCTGTCGTCTTTGATACATCTGGTCCACCGAGGAGCTACACCCGATTATCGCTATCAGAACACTTCCTTATCACTTATTTATACTCCTCCTGTAAGCAAGCAGCATGATCCCCGTTTTGATGGGAGGGAGATTTGTGTTGTGGAAAGGACCGACGGGGGTGCGAGGCTGGCGCAGTGCCCGGGATGGATAAGAGCAGACTGATTACCTCCCAGGCCGACTGTCCCCATGGATCCTCTGATTCCCCTACTTCTCAGGCCCTACGTGTGGTCCTCTCTGACACAGCACCTTGGGCAAAACAAGGCCATTACTGTGAAGCCCAGGAAGACAAGCTCTCTGTGCCCTGCAGACATCCTGCCACCACGGAATCAGGTCCCCTCCCCATTCTCCTGCTTTTGAGAGTCTCCCATCCAGGCCCCATCCAGGCCTGACATCTGCTTAGCTCCCAAGTGCTGACAGGCTCACACCACACGGAGCATGGCGGCAGGCCAGTGTGGGGCACGCCATGCTGTCGGAGGCCTTCTGGATCATGCACACATCCCGAGGATGGGCTCAAATTGAGTGAGCCGCCATGTACCATTATCCAATATTCCATTTTAGGCAGCTAGTTATGTAAATAGGCAATTCTCCAGACTGGCAGGTGAGAGAATGAATTTTAAGAAGGCAAGAGCACAAAGGTGTGCATTCACTCTTCAGAACCTGTCACCTTCGCCCCCTCCCCTGCTAGTGCTCCAGTAAGGGATGTGCATTTGATTTCTGCTGCTCTTTAATGCGGGAGGACCCTGTGTCTGGGGGGCTGTGGGGGGAATGCGTCTCAGGGTCTTGAAAGATGAGATGAATAAGTTTTGCTTTGGTCTCTGAACCAGATTCCCTTTTCTCCTGGCAGGAGGGTAGACTGCTAACACTTTGGTTCCCCAATCATCTCTGAGCAGACAGAGTGGAGCTGCTTAGCTGTTTGAATGCTAAATGACGAGGAATGTGGCTCTCCCATGCCTGCAGACAATGTAGGGCATGAAAGAGGGGCTGTTTTTGGCAAGGAGGAATCCTATCGGTCCACATGGCTGGCTGGCTCTCGCTTCTCTAAGGCATGTTCACAGATCATTTCTTTGATCAAGTTGTTCATGAAATTATTTTAGCAACTCGTCATCCTCTGCCACCATCCTGATTTTGAAACAGAACCACAGATGTTAGTTGTAGGTCTTTGCCAGTGCGCACACAGTGGTGGAACAGATTGGGGCTGGACATTTTAGACTTTCCTCTAGGGCCATGTGTCTTCTTGGCCTGCAGAAAGGTGGTTTGGGACTTCAAGCCTACGAGAAGGGAAATGGGAATAGTGGTTTTAGTTTTGCATGGTGCCCTTGATCAGTGTTGCAGTCACTGAAATGGAGCTGACTGGCCCGTTATTCTTATCTGTCTAGTGTGGATTCTCTAAGCAGTCACATGCTGCTTGCTGAAGAACAGCTCTGGAAACTCTTGGGTGGGAGACACTCCCTGGTGAGATTACCATTCACATCTGCAATGATTTGAATGCATCCCTCAACATTTATGTGTTAGAAGCTTAAACCTCCAGATGCATAAACTGACAGCGTTTGGAGGTGTGTGTGGGGAAGGCGTTGAGGAGTAACTAGAACTGGATGAAGTCACGTGGGCAGGCTCTACAGTGGGGCTGGCGACTTTAGAGTTAAAGCAGGAGAGCTCTGAGCTGTCAGTCTTCCTGGTCCTCATCCTGATGCTCTCTGCCATGCTGTGCCTCAGCAGATGACAGCATCTTGGTCTTGGACCTCTTAGCTTTCTCACGATGTGATACAAATTTCTTTTCCTTATAAATCACCTAGTTTGTGGTGTTTTATCATAGAAGCAGAAAACAGACGAAGAATATAAAAAGATACAATGACAAAAACACAAACTATGTGACAGTATGAAATGTAATTCTTCTCGACCCATTTCTTCATTCAATTTAAAAAAACGTAAGTTACAGGAATCAAGGGCCTTTTTTTCTCCCTTTGAGACATTGGCTCAAGTCCCCCAGGCTGGCCTTGAACTCCTGATTGTGCTGCCTGACTTCCCAAGTGCTGGGATTACAGATGTTTTACACCCACCTCTCCTGGTTAAGAAAGGAGGTTCTTGAAGGGATGTCTTTACATTCTTGTACATGGCAGTGATGGCCACAGGGTGGAAGAAGAACAAATGGCCATTAATACAACACATGGGTATTTGACAGTTAGCTTTACAAAGGAAGGAAATTCCGACTCATGGCTGGACCTTGGGGACAGTATGCTGGGTAAAGGAAGCCGGTGACAAGGACAAGCCAGTGACCACACTTACACGAGGTACCCATAATAGCTGTAGCCATAGAGACAGAGAGCAGAGCGGTGGCGGGGATGGAGGGAGGGGCAGGTGGACTTGGTGTAGAATTTCAGTTATGCAACATGAAAAGAATCCTAGAAGTTAAGATGGTAACTTTGATGTTATACATTTTACCATCATTTCTAAAAGTACCAAGTAATAAATCCATACATCACAAAATTCATGCAACCTAAATTATTCTTTAGCAAGTCTGTGTGTATGCATGTGTGTGTATATACACATACATTTTATATCTCTCTCTCTGTGTGTGTGTGTGTGTGTGTGTGTGTGTGTGTGTGTATGTGTGTGTGTGTGTGTGTGTGTGATATTACTTCACAAAAGGAAATGGGGACTTTCAAGTTGCAGCTCTGATTCTTGTTGAAAAAGCAGGGTTGAATACACAGAAGGCCTCCAGTTTCTGTGAAAAGTGTCCTTGACTTCAGCAGAATGATGCCTGGGATGGAATAATCCAGAGCAATTGCCCTGCATCCTCATGCTCACAGTGCAGATTGTGTTTCTCCTCTAGAGTCAATGACTGTTGTCAAACGTATTCTGCAAGGCAGACACACGCATCTGGGTGCACTGGGCTGATGTCACGGGCAGCATGGCAGCTAACTCCTGGCTGAGACTTCCTAACCATGTACGCACTTGAACCAGGCGACATACTGGCCTCCGATTCGGTCTTCTAATGTGGAATTTCCTCCACTGCCCATTATTTTCTGTATCATCAATACTTCTACAACTTCAGCTGGACTTTGGTAGAGATGGAATCCACCAGAAACAGGAAGCAAAGAGATGGGCAGTCCTGTGGACTGAAGAATGGCAAATGCTGGTCAAGAGATCCTGATGGAGAATTCTAAAGACCTCGTGGGTCAGAAAGGAGCTAGCCACCAAGCAGATGTCCTGGTCGTTAGGAGAGCAGGCCCTGTGTCAGCAGAAGTAAGAGAAGGCATAAAATCTCTCCAGCGGGAATTCTAAGGGGATTTGCCAGTCAGAGGAAATGAGTACTTTACACGTGGGAGCTGTCCCTGGTACTTTTTTCCTGAGTTGCCACTAAAGGATGTGCGCTTCTCTCGGGTCACCTGCCTTTGGGCCTGGACTGAGAAGGGGAGGTGAGGAAAGGCAGGAAAGGAGGCCGTTCTATGACAGTGAGATGGTGAGAAGGATCAGAAACAGTCCTAGAAGGGGAGAGAGAATCAGGACCTTGCCATCCTCACGGCACAAATTCCAGCTAGACTCTTCATTAATACTGGCCCAAGACCCTACAGCCATGAACAACAGACAGAAATGGGCACAAGATGGCGCCACACAGTAATGGACAACTGACCCCAAGCACTGCCTTCTTTAGAGATCTGGTTGGTGCTGAAAGCTCTCCACCACCCCCACCCTGCATGCAGCCACCTGCCACCTGCCTCTATCCCAGGGCTGGGTCAGTGCAGCCACATCTGCACTCTGCCAACACTTCCCCAGCTAGTGACACGTACAGCCTCAGGCAGGCGAGAGGGGGAGGGCTCCTCCAGGGGACAGTGTGAGGCTTGATTTTCCCTGCTTACTTGGAAAGAAGCCAAATATTCTGACCCTGCGTTCACAGGGTGGCCATCTCCCATCATCTCTGCATGCCACCACACCAAGCAAAACACTTCCATGTGTGGGGAGGAGCTGGCTAGGTGGAAGCACCCAGAACACTAACTAAGCAACACACATTAACTGTGTGTGAAGGCCATAAACAAGCCTGGGAAGGGAGCCAAAAGCCCCCCAAAGTCCTTTCCCCTTCCATCTTGAGGAATGGCTTTGCAGACTTCTCCACTGTCATCATTCATTGTACTGTCTTCCTCTTGAGGTGCTCTGTTTGGAAAGGAGAGAGTTGCCCCCACACAGCCTCTGCCGCCTTCACCATGCCTATTTCGTGGACCCCAGGGCTGCAGCTCATTTCGGCTGTGCACATGTATGTCTGCCTCCCTCAGTCCTGGGAAGGCGTCCAGTGTGGGGATGGGGGATGGGCCCTCCCTCACCCCCTGGCACCACCGGAGGTGTCTACCTTCTGTTCTCTGCTGCTGCCTTGGCTCCCCATGTCTTCTTGCTGTGTGCTTGGCCTGTCTGAATTGATCTTTCTAGACCAAGGCAGGTCTTCTGGCTTTAAGAAAAATGGTTCTCTTGGCATCAAGCAGATTCCCCTCCCTGCCCAGTGATGTCTGCAAAAGAGCAGAGGCGGAGAATCACGATGGCGTCATTGTGGGAGTCACTACTGGGCTGCAGGGCCAGCTGCCCCGGCAGCCGCGCCTTTGTGGTGACCATGGCTTATTCTTCTGTCATCAACAGATATGCCTTAAGAGAATGAATGATTCGGAAAGTCTGTAGGTTTGCAAAAATTATTGCCAGCCTTTCTCCACTTAACAGAGAGGGGTAAAGATGGATTTGACAGGCAGGAATGCAAGGACATATGGCATTTGTGCTGTGGGTTATGTGTCTGATGTGAATTCATGGCTGTCTGATTTCTTCCACCACTTTATTCCACAAAGACCCACATGCTTTTGTGAGTGCCCAGGCAGAATTTGAGAGTCTCTGATATGTTGGCAGACCCTTGGTAGGGCATCTCCCCTGGCCTCCTGCCTTCTAAGTGGTAGCAGC